ACACTTCCCATACAAAACTAGGCTTTTGCACTTTTATCGGAAAAAATCTGAAATAGTCTATCAAAGTTAACATAATTTCCATTCTGTCTGCAGCAGCTACTGACATTGTCCTACTTTTAAGCAGCTTATATAACTTTTTTAGAATATTGTCTTGTACTCTTCATATTTGTTTAACATTCGTTGCAGGAATATTGGAGACGGCTAGCTCACTCGCAATATCTCTTAAGCCGTTAATGTGAAAATGTATCATCAGTCTCGATAAATAAAGGCGGTAATCGTAATTTTTTTTTTTTTTTTTTTTTAAGGATTACAAAAGTGCGGGAAAAAAAGAGCAAAAAATTGCCTAACCGATTAACGACAATTGCAGCTTACTTTGTCACGTAATTTCTCGAAAGCGCATAAAGAATCTTAAAAGTGCTGACGCAGCTCACATAACGAAAAAAGTAATAAAGGCACACTCGTTAATTCTCTTTGAGAAGTTCATTTTTCTATCTCCGTAATGCACTCGAGTCTCCGCGCGTCTACGCCATAATCCCACCCAACAGCTTCACCTCTGAGATAAGTTAACTTTTACTCGCACTGGATCTTCGGGTACGAGTGCTCTTTCGCATCGTGGAATCCCCCATCCTCTCCCAGCAGAAACCGCGAGTTGATAAACGCCGAAAGTTGCGCTCTCCTCGAGGTCTTCGACCGCAGGACCGAGGTAATGAAACACGCCGCACATTATTGTCGCGGGATTTCCACTTTAAGATGGCAACTTTGTAATCCTGGACTGACGCGTGTATCCTTTGTGGAGCAGAGGATTAAGGTACATTTCCAGCAGGCGGGAAATGTTTTCATCCACGATATGAGCGTTGCGTATACAGTCAACAGATTTTTACAGATGAGCGTGTATTTATTTTGTATTGTCTTTCGTATCGAAGATCACGTTGACTGCCATTTGCCTGTCTGGGATTTTAATTAGATCGTTGTGAGCGATCGATGAATATATTCATTAAAATGCTCTCTTTGAAGATAAATCATCTCACAGACGATTGTACAATAGAAAATTCAAATTCGAGATTTCAAAAATTTCGTTACTACTATTATCATTATATGAAATCTGTATGTCTGCGTGCACACTTATTTAATAAATATTAAATACTCTTTAAGTCTTATTAATACAGTATTAGCATTTCTTGTGTTAGTGATAACAGCATTTAAGCCATACCACCTCTAGTAGGCAATTTATAAAAAGTTTAATCATCTTCGAAATAATTATTATAAAGCAATTTATTAATAAGTTAATGGTCTCGAAAGAAATCCCCGGTCTTCATATAAATATAACAAAAAGTGAATTGCTCGTACAAAATTATGTGCACTCGGAAATCATGTAATTTTTTTTCTATAATCACACAATGAATTAAATACGATTATATCTATTACACATACGTAATGTCATCAATAATAAGGAAGTAGCAATTAAAAATTAAATTGCACTTTTTAATTTTATACTGTAACTTCCATAAATGGAAAATGAAAATCCTTTAATTTACGAAATAATGTAATTTATGCCAGTAATGTCAGTCATGCATATAATATCTAACGTAATACGTTTTTAATTGAACAAAACTAATGCTTTTATCTACTTATTAATATAAAACATATATATTCACTCTGTTATTCAGATATTAGCTGGCGATCTTACATAAATTATTGAAAAATAATTATAGAAAGTTGTGAGAACGGAAGAGTATTTCTAAATATGACGACAGCAAGAAATGTAATTTTTACATGCTTGTGTTTAGTTGCGAAATTACTTGCGTAATTTGCCAATCTTGGTGGACGTTAATTTGGGGATATTCTTTTTCACCCGATAAGCAATAATATATTTTACGCAGCTTTACACAATTATATATTGCTATTGTCGAATTCAATATATATTTTTCTTTTAATTTTTAACGGCAGAGTTTACTTAGCGAACGAGCACTTCTTGAATTTATTTAAATGGAGGCTGCTGATTTTGCTCTTCTTGCTCGATTCCTCGGTAATTTTTTTTATATCATATTCCAAAGGTATTTTCCGTTTAAGAAAAAAAGTAATATTTTTTTTTCTTTGATAACAAATGTGTAGGAAATATGTGTAATAACATTAAATTCTTATTTTTCGTGTTTTTTTTTTTTTTTTTTTTTTTTTTTTTTTTTCGTCAAAGATATATGACAAAGGTCAGTACGAAATTGAACTTATCTGCCCACGTACATTCAATTTGTCGAGAAAATGAAAAGAAGATATAAATAAATTTCGTTATTTCCTTAACATATATATGAAGTAAAATTAACAAAGTTTATTTTAGTTTAGATGAAAACTAAAAGTTTGAAAGCTTTGATTAAATAATAGAAAAAATCTCGACTTACCGGAGTAAGTATAATTCTAATATTTCATGGATATCGTGTACAACATAAGCATTAATTTCTTAATTGAAAACATCCCATAACAGGTAATAAATTTATTAGTTAAATGTCGATTGTTTTAAAAGTGTCGGGACAAAGAATTCCCATCAATAGTATCCCGAAATAATATGAGAGGCTAAGAAAGAAAATTACGAAAAGTCAAAATTGCTACTAATTGCAACAATTTCAAGCACTATGTTGCAATTAAACGAATATTTATTAATAATAGTGAATCTCAAATTTAGGATCAAACGCGGAAATTGTCAAACTCGATCCAAATTTTCGATAGAACTTTCACTCTCGATTACGAGAAATTTTTGAGTTTGCATACTTGGAATCGCATGTCGCGAGTTCGCATCATGAGATACCCGACAAAGTAAATTCCTCCTTATCTATGCTACCATTATCTTTGTCGCCGTTTACTTTCCATATCATATATGCGTCTTTTCAGATCTTACAGATCAACAGCCATCATAATTGTAACCTACGTTTACGCTACTAATATAATGGTCGAGTCATTGCATTTCTCTATCCCCCCCTCTCTCTCTCTCTCTCTCTCTCTCTCTCTCTTACATGTGTACCTATGTTGTATCCGGATTTGTCAAGATCTACAATCGAATCTCTTTGCAATAATTTTATTAAAGTTAGAAATTTTTTTTTAGTTGATTAACATAAATAATCGTCATTACTGTATTAGCAAAGACATTCGTTATGTACGAAAAATTTAATAGTCATGCATTTTCGCGCGTTCATTAAATAAAAATGGAATAAGATATTTGCGCGTGTGGAATAAATTTAATGGGAAGAAGATTTCAAGAAACTGGGATTATTGTACAATGAAATCGCCTTAATAATGTACTGAAAATATTTTTCATCGGTCCTCGTTAAATTATTTTCATTATTTAGTTACTGTATTTACTAAATTTCATTAAATTGTTACTATATATATATATATATATATATATATATATATATATATATATATATATATACATATATATATGTATATCTAAAAAATAAACGTATGTGTAACTGTAAAATAAACTTGGCATTATCGAATTATATCATTGTTATATCATTAAATATACTAAATACTTAATAGAAAATCCGTATTCCCGGTAAAATCATGAATCGTATCGTTTTCATTTGCATCTCAAATTGCGAAAAGAGAGAAGTCTTAGCAAGATTCGTGCAAAATGAAATTTGAAGCAAAAAACTTCATCCCAATTTGCCGTTCGCGTTATAACGGCATAACGGCCAGCTCGAAAACAAAAACAAAAAAAAAACAAAAAAAAACAAAAAAAAAAATAACCGCAATTAAAAGTTTGCATTATCCGCAGCTTAAAGCCAGTGCTTTCGCTTAAGCGATCGTAATGGTTTATGAATCCATTCGAGTCGCGCATTTAACCGACCGCCACTGTCAGTATCAATGATAACAAATAAAAAAAAAAAAAAAAACAAACAAAATAAATATTAACACCAGAAAATCAGCAGCGTTCGTTCTCTCAACTCGATTTACAATACGAAATAATACCCCGAAGCTACCTCGCTCAAAAAACTATCGTTAGATAAATATTTAAATGCTCGCGATTACGAAGATAACGTTATTTTTCCAATACGAAATGAGCGAGTGGATAAAGCAAACTTCCTGAAAATACAGTTGCCGTGATATTTATATTGAGGTACGTTGTAAAAGCCTAAACCTAAATTGCCATTGATTTGTACGCGTTATTAGTTGGTAAAGTGAGAAAAGTGAGGAGGAGGAGGAGGATAGCCGTCAGTGGAGATGTGAAAAAGCGTTGCCCCTTGTATAAGCCAATTTTATCGCGTGACTCGTACTATTCTATTCTATTCTATTCTATTCTATTCTATTCTATTCTATTCTATTCTATTGTTAGTTTAAATTCGCGAACGAAGAATAAGCGGCTAACGCAAGCAATTCGAATTAAACGACCAAGTTGGGTATGATGCAACCCAAGTTTTTAAAATCGTCGTCGCAGTCCTCGCACAACCGACGACGTATTTCCAGTATAAGAAAGAAATTCGAGCGAACGGCGCAAAGTGGCTAGCAGCCGATGTAATTGCCGGCGCTGCGAGAGCGAGTGTAATGCGAGTGTAATGCCAGTGTAATACGAGTGTAATACGAGTGGCCGCGTGAAATATGCGGCAATTTCAAGCCCTTGACGAATTTCTCGTGCACCGCAGGCCGTCGTCGAGTCAAGTTTTTCAGCAGGCTCGAGCGAGCAATGGCTAATGGCTGATTTGGCGCAAGCGCGACCCCTCGGCTGCAAATTTCAATCGTCCCATATCTAGCCGAGCGACGCACACTTGCTTACCCAATCTCGTTACCATTGATAATCATTGATATTAGCGAAGATAGCGGCACACAGATTCCGCCGACACAAAAATAAAACGAGCGTCACATCACGACCTTGGTTTCACTTCACCACTGGCGACGGCGCGCGCCCACGACCTCCGAGGCGCTGCTCCTCGCCACCACAGCCTCCGAGGCTACTAAGGGCGGGGGTGGGACGAGCGAAATATCCTTCGCTCGCGACACCGAAGGCTTACCTTGGGTGGCGCAGAGGAGGGCCCAGAGCCCGAGGATTATGCAGCGTCGATTCATCCTGTTGGTTGGTGGCGGACGGCGCGACCAGATCCCATTCGCCGGTTACACGAGCTGAGAGGCGGACACGGGGCACGTTTCCGAGTATCGAACTGCTGGTAGCACGGGACGCGCGCGAACCTCACGCGATAGAGACTGAAGTTCGGGCGCGAGCGCGACGCCCGTCGAGGCGCACCCGAGCCGCCGTCGCCGCCGCAGCCGTAGCCGCCGTCGCCGTCGCCGTCGCCGCCACCGCCATCGCCACCGCCACCGCCACCGCCACCGCCACCGCCACCGCCACCGCCACCGCCACCGCCACCGCCACCGCCACCGCCACCGCCACCGCCACCGCCACCGCCACCGCCACCGCCACCGCCACCGCCACCGCCACCGCCACCGCCACCGCCACCGCCACCGCCACCGCCACCGCCACCGCCACCGCCACCGCCACCGCCACCGCCACCGCCACCGCCACCGCCACCGCCACCGCCACCGCCACCGCCACCGCCACCGCCACCGCCACCGCCACCGCCACCGCCACCGCCACCGCCACCGCCACCGCCACCGCCACCGCCACCGCCACCGCCACCGCCACCGCCACCGCCACCGCCACCGCCACCGCCACCGCCACCGCCACCGCCACCGCCACCGCCACCGCCACCGCCACCGCCACCGCCACCGCCACCGCCACCGCCACCGCCACCGCCACCGCCACCGCCACCGCCACCGCCACCGCCACCGCCACCGCCACCGCCACCGCCACCGCCACCGCCACCGCCACCGCCACCGCCACCGCCACCGCCACCGCCACCGCCACCGCCACCGTCACCATCGCAGTCGCAGTCGCAGTCGCAGTCGTAGGGAGCGGCGGGCGGGGAAGGGTCGTCGGGAACGTCGCCGCCGGTGAAGAGGAGACGGGCTCGCGTCTATTGCCGATTCACCACGAGCTCCCGCGCATTTCGGGCCGACGTTACGCTATTTTTTATCCCTTCGCTCCTCGGCGCTACGGCGTCCTCGACAGTCCGATTCGTACGCACGTAGCATCCGTTCGCAGAACTCGCTGGCGATTTCGGCACAAGGCACAATACAAGAACGCGTGACGGCGGTAGCGGTAGGGGTAGGGAGAGGGTGAGGGGGTATTGGGGAGGGGGGGGGGGGGTTGGGGGCATTGAATTCCGCGGATCGGGTCCTACGGAATTACGCGGATCGAGTCCTACGGGCTGGCGTTGATGCCGATGCTGGGGACCGTCGCTCGCTCCTTACCCGCGAGTCCTTCGACGCCACCGGTCCCTTCGTCACGCCTAAAGCGAAATAAATAACGCGATCTCGGCGCCGCGTACCAGCTAGGGAGGGGCTATTTTAGTGGCCTATTTACTTTAAGAGATTAAACGCCTAGGGTGCAACGCGAGTGCTTTTAATGCCGGGACGTTATTGTCGCGGTAAACTTTTAATGGCTGAATTGCCGACGCTCTCGGGCAAAGTCATACGATTCCGCGATAAACGGAACGAGCTTCTATTCTAATTTAACGATACTTCAATATTAGCCTTCTTCTATATTACTTCAATGGGGGCTCGAGCGTGCGCCATAATAATCCTTGGCGTTTGCAGCGAGCGTTGCTACCCTTAAATTAATGCGTCCAGGTGGACGGGAAGGTCGATGGAATCGAAAAGTGGCTCGGTTATTCCAACGTCGACGGGACCGCGTCATGCAGTTTCGAAAATTTTGAGCCCATTTGCCCGCTGTCGGTATCATTAGGTAGAGAATGTGCGTTACTTAGGATTTAACGAGCAGCGATAGGTGCGAACGAAAAGCCGATAATGTAGCGCTTATTTTCCCATTGACAAAATCTTTCCTTACGTCGTCATATCGCCAAGCCATCCGGTGATGCGGGATATCCTTAAATAAAACGAAGCTGGGCGACGCATGTCAAGATGCGGAGAGCGAGCGATGAAAGCTGGGATAATGCGTAAAGACGAACCTTCGACGGCTAACCCTCTCGCTCTATCGATTTACAGAGCTTCCGCGGCGACTGTTAGCAAGGCGACTTACAAAAGCCAAGCGAATAAAAAGGACAGCAAAGCTCGCCCGTTCAAACGCCCTACACACCCACGCGGTTTATCGTCGGCGTCACGCGCGGTCCAACGCCAAGGCGCATTAATTCGAAAATTAGCAGTCGCGCCCGATGAATTATGGGAACGATGATACACTCGCGTCTGATGCGCTTGCACGCGTATCCCATCTGCTGGGAGAAATATCGCGCGGAGTCTAGTTCCCACGTGGTTCTCGCTCACTGTCGGCCAGGTCCTTCGCTACTAATTTACATCCGTAGGCCCGTGGTATGGCTAAGGCAGGCCTTACGGGGCCCTTTGAAAATCCGGTTCAAAGCTCGAATTCAATATCCGATTCGAACGATTGATTCGAACGTTCGTCTCCTTCCTTTTCGGCTCCCCCTTCTCCCCCACTTTTCTCCCCATTTGCCGAAGCAATCGACAATCCACAAGATCAAAGCAAGATGAAAGTACTGAACGATGTTTTTTCTTGAGTATTATAGTTTTGTTGCCTAAAATGGCGCGGCTTAAGCCTAACTTTTCGTTTTTTTGAAAAAAAATGATCTCATCGTCAAATGCTGTTTCATGACGGTCGGAAGATAAAAATATTTTAGAAACATGTTTCGCATCTTTTCATCATAAGGCGCTCGAATTTCATGTAGTTTTATAAATGTTGGCGAGCCAGGAGCCATTCGATATTCAAATTGGAAAATAGTGTTCAATATATTATGAATGTCGCGCTTATTCATAATAAAACGAATAACTACCCATTCTAATTGCTTTCATCTAGCTGCTTTATTATTAATTATAAAACTGTTTTGCCAAGAGCATTTGAGCTGTTAATAATTTACAAGATTACATTTAACGCGACTGTCGAGGTAAGTTTCATTTGTGCGTTCAATTGCAAATATTCAATGTGAAAATTTTAAATTAATTTTAATTGCTTGGCAACTAATTTATAATGGATGCATAAAGCTTGCTGACATGTATCTCTTTTATGTGAACATAAATTTTATTATACAAAGTGCAATTATATAAAACATTAAGAATTTTAATTAATCGACATATCTCAATTATTGCATCTATAGGATATTCGAGTTTTCTTTTATTAGAATAAAAAGAAAGAAAAAACTACTGTTACGAGTCACATTAAATAGTAAACAATTGGCTTTTATTACGCATCCGAATAATAACGTCATGCGTGAGTAAATTCGTTGAAAAGCGATTATTCCGTTATTTCTTACTAAGTTTTTTTCGATATTTTAATTCTTTTTTTTTTTTTAAACAATTCTCTATGAAAATCGAGAAAAACACGATGAGATTAACAATTCGTTTAAAGCTATCGTTCGGTTATTTTTATAAAATGTATGACTTTCGAATAATAATATTCCATTTTTAATATCACCAATCTAGGCGAAAGTTATAAATTTAATGTTTTTTTTTTTTAGATGCGCTAGAAGATTAGATAAACTCTTTTTCACCCGTGAGTTGTATATTTTCAGTGTTGTCGGAAAAATGTGCACGAACCATATATGTATGGGAAGTATATTTTGTAATAATTTTTTCCACGTTTTTTTTATTACTTATTTTCTTTCGCATGAATTATTATTACTCGCTTAAATCTCGATGTATTTTATCCCGAAGGTGAAAATTATAAAAAGAAAGGCACGCGAGAGCGAATAATTATCTTAAAAGTAAATGATTTGCAGAAACATTACTTATAACACGTAATATGAATCTAACGGACGATTTATTAAAGCTTCGTTTCCACAAAAACACGAAGAATATTAACAAAGTGCGTAGTTCGACCATCTTTCCAAAGATTGAAACTGTGCAACATATTTTACATGAAATTTTAAACAGTATTGTAAATTATAAATATTATATCCTTCTAGCGGTATTGTAGCAAAATATTTGATCCCTAACAAAGACTCATTTGCCTGTATAATTTTGTTTTTCTTTGTTTTTTTTTTTTTTCTATACGAAATCCGTAGTACTCGTTACACACTTCAGCTCAAAATATGTAAGAAAATTCTCCAATTGGCCATTATTCAATATTATCATAATGAGAAGTAATTTAATAAAAATCGTTAACTTTTTGGTTGTTAAATTGTAAGATTTCAAAGCAAACGAAATATTTATAAGAAAATGTAAATAGCCTATAATGAATGAACATATAGTACATGTATCGATTGATATTACCAATATATTTTTATTCTTTACCCATTAGTAGCTGAATTTTTTAATACAATTCGCGATGAAAGCGTCTATTCGTTTGCATTAATGTTAAAATAAAACGATTATATTATATTGTAAGTACTTTAAAAATAATTAATATTACTTGATCTAAGTCTGGTCAAGTATTTCTATAAGCTCTCGAGGAATGAAATAAATGTAAAAAATCACAATATACAATTATGCTACGATATAATAAATTAAAGAATTTGAAAATTAGATAGATGAACCAGGGACATTGTATATTCATGTATTTCGTAACATGTAAAGTCTTTGTGATAAATTTAAAAGTACAATGGATGATTTTTGTCATAATTTCTAAGTTTAAATTTTACGTAATACATTGTCACTTATTTCAAATTAATCTGTCATTTAGAAAATTTAGACAAAACTTATATTATCGATTATTTTATTATTCAACATTTTTTTTTTCACTATTATTTTCTTTTTTTATAAATTTTAACTAGTTGGAGATAAAATAATAAAATAAAACAATTGAATAAAGTTACTTATTATAATTAAAAATGTATAACTTTAGTTTTGCGTAAAGCTTAAAATGAAGGATGTTTGATATTAAAAGGAAAGAGATAGATAGATAGATAGATAGATAGATAGAGAGAGAGAGACTATCAGGCATGAAGAAAACTATAGGCAAACTCTCGCATTACGCATGCAAAAGTCCGAATGATGGTTAAACATGACGAATGAAAATTACATTGACGTTTAAAAAGAGCCAATAGAAGGAGCGAAAACAAAGAGGGACGCGAGAACAAAATGATGTAATTAACAATGCTTGCGGGTCTTATCAAGCGGAAGTACTATTCACTAAATGCGCTTGTTTACTCTTTTTATACATCTTTTTATTTCTCACGAGCGCCAATGTACGCGTGTGCGAGAAAAAGAAAATCCTTTCTCGACCTATGCGTGATACGCTCAAGAATGTTCAAGAGGTTCTCGAGTGACGTTTTATTTAGTTTCGAAAATACGTATAATATTAATGATGTCGGACGAGAATCTCGAGGGATAATACGTATGTACACGCGCCAGCATTCGCACGAGCCGAAGCAAAATCGAAATAAGACTCGTTATTTATGATTTTTTTTGCCTTTAGAGAGACAATGTGAAAAAGCTGATTGTTACGCTGGCTAGCGTTTTTCATTATTTCGTAAAAACGTCTTTTTCTACGTTATCTCGTTCTTTTTCGCTTTTAATTTTAAAACATTTGAAATAGCATATAACGTGTAATATTTGAAAAAATTTGAAAACTTTTTTTTTTTTTTTTTTTTTTTTTTTTTTTTTTTTTGATGTACACAGGAGTAGCCTATTAGCAAATCAAATTATTATATTCCATGTTTCAATTTTTCTCATTAACGATAGTCATCAAGAATATTATGTGCAGGCATTGTTGTTGTAATGTTGATGAAATTATAATATAATACAACTTACATATCACCTGAGAATATGCAAATTTATTGCCCAATGTGGTAAAAACCATAGATTGATGGAAAATTTAAATAAGAACTCATCACGACTTTAATAAAAGAATATAAGTTTTCAAAAGATCATCGGACCGATAAACATTTCCTGCTCCATACGTCTTACAAACATTCGACATACGATGATTCTGGCATGTTGCACTTGTATACACTCAATAGCCTTTAACAATCATGTATAAGAACTTAAAATAATTCCCATCATACATAGATAGATGCTCGTATGATTAAAAATGCTGCTATTATTGAGAATTTACAATTTATATTTATATTTGAGATCTTACGATATGATTGATTTCAATTTGAGGAGATCTTTTATCGGGCTCGCTTCAATTCTTATCGAATCTTATCAATGTTCAACTAGTTTCTAATCATTGGCACAGTTCCGACATATTGAATCGTTAATATTAGATAGAGAGAAACCGACATTGATCGTCGAACTTTGCATCGAGCAACGTATAAGTATGCAATTGTATCTTCCTTTCCCCAAGATAACAAACGGTGCCATAATTTGAAAAGTTTATTGGATTATTCTTCCTTTGAAAATGTAAGAAGACGCTTACACAAATTTCCTTATATTTCTCCCATTCGATTTTCATTTCTCCTTAATATCATAATACAAATACATTACTTACATTACGTGCCAATCATTGTTTTTCTTTTTAGTTCCGCATCACATCGCAACACAAAATTCCACGAGCATCGTAGTTAAATAAATAAGCTCATTCTGCGGTTACCGGGTATTCGCGTGTCCGAGTCCCATATCCACATTAAACAGCAAATACAAATAATTAATAATTAATAATTAATAATTAATAATTATTAATAATAATAATAATAGTAATAATAATAATAATAATAAGAAGAAGAAGAAGAAGAAGAAGAAGAAGAAGAAGAAGAATAATGTTAATCGGGCTATTTTAACGACATTTAACGATACTGATGTAAGCTCGCGTAATAACCCATGTTCCGAACGGTCGATCTAACGGCGCGTTCAAAAAAATTGTCGTTGAGCGTAAGAATATAATTATATTCTTTAAGCTGTCGCGTGAAAAAAGCTCTCGGTAACAGTGACGACGACAACGGCGACGACGACAACGGCGACGACGACGACGACGACGACGACAAATCATGAGGATCTATTTCTCATTACCTCTCATCGTCCGAGAACGTGGAAGCTTCGAAACAGGCCGCCGAGATAGAATTTACTGATTAAGGATGAGCAGCCATTGCGGCACCGGCTTCCTCCTCGGCCGTTGTGGCGGATTCTTGGAAGCGTCCCCGGGAGTTTCGGCCTCGTTGTTATCCCGGCCCTTTTCGTCGGCCGAAGCGCCATCTGCTAATGTAAATCTCCAACTGGTAAAATGTGTAAAATAGCCGAGGAGGCGTGGCGGCGCTGCGGTCGCCCTGATGCCCAACTGATTTTTCACCGGCTCCTTGTCGCGTGCGGTGGTGTGTCTTGTGGAGGCCTTGTGCCAGTTGGCTCTCTATCTGTATTTCTCTCTCTCTCTCTCTCTCTCTCTCTCTCTCTCTCTCTCTCTCCCATTTGTAAACGAATGAAATATGAGCCTTTGACGAATAATTATGATTTTATATGTATATTTACTTTGATGTAAGGATAATTTTACTTTACATATCTATATATTTATTGCACTGTCATTAGCGCTTAAGGTTAGTATTTGGCAATGTTATTGGATGGATTTGTTTGTTAGTTGATTGGGTGTTAATAAATGGCATGTTTGGTTTTATGTCGAACGTGCTATAATGTTTTAGATGTCTACGACAATCAGTGGGAAGAATTTGCTGCAGCCAATGGGGCTACAGTGCAAGGATTTGTACGAGTATTTAAAGATGAGGTCTCCAGAAATGTTAAATAAGCTTTACAACAATCCTCCGATTTGCTTGGCCGTTTATAGAGAATTGCCAGAGATAGCAAGGCATTATGTTATGAGGCTACTGTTCGTGGAACAGCCGGTTCCACAGGCTGTAATAGCCTCGTGGTGTTCCAAGCTTCACGTGGATGTACACCTCAAAGTTGTACAAGTAATGAACGAATTGAACATTTGGAAAGAGGCATCGATACCCGGGGGTTTGCCTGGCTGGATACTCAATGCAACGTTTAGGAAAAATTTAAAAATTGTATTATTGGGAGGTGGAACGTCCTGGACAATGTCCAATCAACTTGAGACTGACAGTAAACCTAGAGACGTTGCTTTTCTGGACTCTTATGCATTGGAGAGGTGGGAGTGCGTGTTGCATTACATGGTTGGATCGCAGCAACAGGAAGGTAGGTCTGGCCATGTAGATTGTTAAAGTATGTGCGACTATGAGAGAAATGTCACTAAAATTGTAAATCACACTTGGAACAATTATCATGATATTTTTTCTTAAATCTTATTTTTCAGTATTTTGATATTGGATTAGCCATAGAAACTAACTGATTTCTCAGTACTATTTTAATTATTAAATTTCCATGAAGCTTAATATTAAAAGTTTTTAAAATCAAATGTATTAGGCATATCCGCGGATGCTGTTAGAATTTTATTACACGCTGGTCTTATGAAACGGGACGAAGAAGATGGCAGTCCTGTTATTACCCAAGCTGGTTTTCAGTTTCTATTGTTAGATACCGCAGCCCAGGTAAAACTAACTCAATGAATTATGCATTTAAATTAATTTAGATTAATTTAGACGGTAAGATATTTACCAAAGATTTGTACCATTGATATAGGTTTGGTACTTTATTCTTCAATATTTGGATACCGTAGAGGCGAGAGGCCTCGATTTAGTCGAATGTCTGACATTTCTTTTTCAATTAAATTTTTCCACGCTTGGTAAAGACTACAGTACGCAAGGTATGATGAGTGGACTTTTGACATTTCTTCAGCACTTAAGGGAGTTTGGCCTCGTTTATCAACGTAAAAGAAAAGCAGGAAGGTATTTATACAATATCTAAACAACACGCGCTAATGTAATTTTCTTTATAATAAACACATAATTTGTAGATTTTATCCAACAAGATTGGCTTTAAATATTGCCACAGGACAAAATAAGCCATTGTCCCGGGATTTGGAAAAGGAGCGCTATATCGTCGTTGAGACGAATTATAGAGTATACGCTTATACAAATTCAAATTTACAAGTCGCATTAATTGGATTGTTTTGTGAACTGCTGTACAGGTATGGTATTCATTTATAATTTGCTTTTAAAAGGTATATTAACGTATATTAAGTGACGACAATTATTTTATATTTACTCATAATGTTAAGAAATATGCATTTAAAAATTTACGCACAAAATTATCCCCAATTATTAATTAAATCTCAATTAATTAGTATTATTATATAACCCGTAGTTTCTTACAGATTTCCGAATCTGGTTGTGGCAATATTAACGAGAGATTCGGTTAGACAAGCATTAAAAAGTGGCATAACTGCCAGTCAAATTGTTGGATATTTAAATCAGCATGCACATAATAAAATGATCGAGGCTGGACCTCCAACTCTTCCACCAACAATTGTAGATCAAATTAAATTATGGGAGAATGAAAGAAATCGATTTATATTTAGCGAAGGAGTTCTGTACAGTCAATTTCACTCTCAAACTGACTTTGAAGTTCTCAGGGATCATGCGGTGTCTTTGGGTGTTCTAATTTGGCAAAGTGAAAGGTATATTTTCGTTTATTATGCCTAATACTGTCATGGCATTTTTCATTTATATGCGTTATTTCAATTTAGAAAGCGAACGATGGTTGTCACAAAAGCAGGACACGATGATGTAAAGAAGTTTTGGAAGCGATATTCAAAAGGAGCAAATTAAATGAAAATCGATAGAAGTTGTTAATATGTGAATAAATCTATTTTTGTTTACTTATAATGTAATTTATCAAGTATCTGTAAAAAATTTTTAATGAAATGTAGTTATAATTTTGTATAAATTCTTAAGAAAGTCTTATTTATATGAGAATTCTTTTTGTAAAAATAATAAAATATGATTATATCAAATTCATTATTCGGGCATAATAATTGAGCATGTTACCATATAAAATAATCATATATTTTCACTAAACAAATTACATGATTAGAATTAATGTACATTAATTAAATTAAAACTAAGCGTTCAATACTTAATTTATACACAGACTGTTTAAAATTATCGTTGTGGTTTTGGTTTTGGCATTTTATTCAATAAAGCTTGGATCTCTTTTTTTTCATCGTACGTTTTCCACAGTTCGTATAAGTTAATTATGTACCTAGCGATTTCTTGAATTTTTTCCATATCCGCATTTAGTTCAGCAAACCATGATTTGAGATCTTTTTGCAGTATCACGCACGCAATTTGTAGGCAACCTATAAAAAGCAGTTATTATTTAATTCATTAGCAGTAATAATATCATTATTTCATATTAAATACTATCTTGCATTAAAAGCACATTTAAATCTTAATTTTTGAAAACCATCAATTTCTAACTATAATCTATATAAAACTTTATAAAACGAAATATTAATGACAATTCGTAAGAAACTGAAAAAGTATTTTATCTGCTTTATTTACAATATCGATTTCGATAAAATATTATGATTATTATTTTTATTAATATAATTAACACTCGTGCACAAAAACATATTGAGATTCATTTTATTTTATTCTTTTATTTTGAATAATTAAATGTAATGAAAAGCTAAATTATAAAATATTTTGTTAACTTGTTCTAAAAAGGGTAAACTTTAATGTTAAAATTTAAATAAAAATAAAGAACATCACATCTGAATTATAAACATTATAAGAAATCGTAAGTGTGGTCATTTGTAATTTAAACTCCATTAAAACATCATAAAATTATTAATATAAATTTGATTCTAAATATCTTATATAAACCATGAAAATCTGAACATGAATTTAAATATTTAACGGATAAATCGACCGAGACTTATTAAATATGCAAACAAAATGGAAATAAATCTAATTATTAAACGTTCTTGAATGCACATTTAAGATTTTCATATATCATTGAAAGGAGAAGCACGATTGTAAGTTTATGTTAAAATGTTTTCAATTACCAATTGCTATTTGATAAGGAGGATAAAGTAAACAAACGTCGGTGCGTAGACTGTCATTGATAATTCGCCATGCTAAAGTAAGTAATTGATCATCGGGACCTACATCCTGAATCAATGTCAACAATGGTCGATAGGGCTGGTAAACGATCAAACAACAATCAAGATGCTCTAGTAAATAAAATTCACATTCTAATATGTGATTCGTTCTATATGGAAATTCTTGCGAATAAGCATAGTTAAATTTGTTTTTAACTGTATAAAGAAACATATTAATTATATAAAAAAAAAAGTATTCCTGGGAATAATTGAGAGTAACAATTGTGCATACCAACTGTTTGACAAGTTGTTATCAGTCTAGTATTAGAAATAATACCAAATTCTTCAACTTTCGAGGCTAAGAAAACAGACGTCGGTGCCAATAATAACGGATCGATGCATTTGACACTATTGCGGGCGTAGAATCTTTTAAAGTAAACGGTAGCAGTAGCGATTACTTGCTGCCTCAACTTGAGCTGCTCACCCAGTACCTGAATTACTAAAACACAAGGTTATTGTCTTAATTGCCATTTAAAAACTAACGATTCCTAAAATGTACAAAAAAATAAGCGAATGCACAATATTACAATGGAAGGGGTTGATAAGACAAATGCCTACTAACAATTAGCAAAAAATATAAACAACTTTTGGTACTCCTCTTCGGTCAAAACAGACAGATCGTGCTGCCTTTCTCTGACCAAGTCTTGCTTGTCCAACAACCATTGCTGGCTGAAAACAAAGAATGGTACATGAAATTAACATGGATTACAGGGAATTGAGGACGCGATAAGCGACTGCGTTGATCGAGCAATCGTACGTACTGATGCGAGCTGTGCCAAAAGTTACCAGCCATCCTTCAACCTCAATTCTATCCGAATGAAAATTTAAATGCTCGTTGAAGGTTATTCAGCATGTCTTTCGTCAAGTCTTCTTGCGATTGTCAAATTTGCGATCTCGCGATGCTCGTCGGTTTCTCGATTAAATTCAAAGTTGCCCTTTGCATGGCCAGAAAGTTTGCGTCTTACGTGTTTCGTTTCCGCTGCCAAATACCAAAAACAACTCTCGCAAATGTTTTCGAATTCGGATTCAAGTTCAATAAACCAACATCGCTTCCTTATGGTCATAGCCATGCGCCAACTACCGTTGCTCCTTGTGTTTCAAATTTTAAACGCGAGATGGTACTGTCAATATTAAATATATCTAAGGAAAGAGAGAGAGGGAGAGAGAGGGAGAGAGAGAGAGAGAGAGAGCGTGGATTATCCTCCGGCCTGTGTTCCCGCACCCTCTTCAAAAGTGCGAATTATTATAAAAACAAGAATGTCGATAGTGCTCGACCTATTTCGTAGTTTCCCTTCATATTTTCACATTGATAAGCATCGTCATGGGCTTACCAATTCAAGGACTCTCTCTCTCTCTCTCTCTCTCTCTCTCTCTCTCTCTCGTCTATTTGGAAAATTCATAAGTACGTATCGCAATGAATGCTAATTCCCTCGTCTTCACGCTATTTAAAGCGCTGCAAAGTATTTTTTTTTTTATTTGTTTTTCTTTTTGTTTATAAGATTGCTTTGTGTCATTCGTAAAAAATAGCGTTCTAACGATAAAACAATGCACGTTGTGCGACGCGCATGCGCGCGAGAATTTGACAGTTGCTTAATACATGCCCGTTGGACTTTTTAACTTGAAAAAGTGATGATTGCCTTTAAAAATAAAGATTCGATATTTATAATTGTCATTGGCTGAATCATTCAAAAGATTGGCAGTGTGGCAATGTCGATCGATTATCATCCGTAATAAATTCTTGAAAGTATTCTAAATTTTTTCAAATGAGCGTGTTCGAGCGATACGCATTTATCATCGATACGCGGATTATGATTTCAGCCATGTTAAGTGTCTAAATTAAAAGAATGATATAATTAATCAGCAAAAGGCTTAGTTTTTTTGGCAAAAGAAAAATTATGTTCCAATTAAGGGATAATTGCTTATTCAAGGTGTAAAAACCAATGGGAAATATGAATTATTCAAACGAATAAATACAATATTTGTGCATAACAATAATTGCCGTTACTATTAATCAAAATATGAACATAATTTTTTATATATCAATAGTAAATTGACGATACCGGAGATCTATTCATCTCTTTCTGTAAATTGCGACTTGGTGTACGCGTTTCCGACCGATGAAAATCGTCAAATGAAAACAGTCTCATTTTCAAATTTCCTATTTTCTATAATATTAAAAAATAAATACATAAATAAATAAACAAAGTGTAATATAAAGCCATAAAATTCATCATAAAAGTCATCAAATTCATATTGACAATGGAATTAAATTGAACATGCAGCTAAATTTAAGACGACAGATAAATCCAGGAGAATCATTGAATTATTGTAATTATTGCATCAGATAATATTCTATTTATTAATAACTTTTTAATATCACTGATATGTTTCTCATATTATCCATGTCTATAAAATTTCATCAATGAATTATATGTAAAATGCTGGATGTTATTTCTTTAAAATCAAGCGAAAGATCGCCGTTAGGTGTAAAGAGGGATTTTTAAAACAACTTATCTGATCTATAAAAACCTTACTGACAAATTTAATAGGTCAATTGGGGATGAAAGATTGTGTGCTTTTGTATTCATTGTTAGCTCTGTCTCGTTCCACATTTCGTATTCTCTCGCGTGAAAAATATGGTTTTAAAGTAAGAGTATTAATATTCGCTAACATCACTTCTTTTCATAAAATTTTAAAAGAGAACGCTCATAAGTATGCGTGTGTATTTTTTGTTGTTGTTTTTGTTTTTGAATATTTATTAAAATTCATATATTTACTTTTTGTTCATTTTATTTCATATACATATATATATATATATATATATATATCTATTTAATTTTTGTTATTGCCGTATGTTATAAAAATAGATTCAATTTGTTTTAATCACGATTATACATTTTATTATACATCATATAACAATTCTATTTACCTAACTTATTTTTGTGACATTTTTAATGATCAAATCTAGTTATCAAAACTATGAGGGAACTCTTAGTTATTATAATACACAATATACTATGTTCCAACACTATTGTGCATTATCTAAAAGTAATATAGTAAAAATGAAAAAAATCAAAATACTAAAAAAAGAAACTGTTAAATAAGTTAAAAAAATTGTAAATGTAAATTACGGAACACATCAATGTGTAAATTTATGATGTTTAACAGTACTGTCGAATAGTCTCATTCCACATAATTATTTATAAAATATTATGGAAATATTTGCAATTGGAAATATATATGTGTGTGTGTGAATTAAGTTTTTCTTTTTAAATTATGAAACATTTGGAGAATCTGAGACACGAAAATTGTTTAAACAAAATATAACCAAATGTCCGTTCAAATCATACGAATTGAGCTTCTTTTATAAATGAATCATCTTCAAACTAATGTCGTTTCACATATTTCACATTGACGTATATATTGTCAGAGGAGGCAGCACCTATTTCGTACTCTCTTCTCGCAATTCGCATTCACAGAGTTGTGCGTGGAGACATTGCACCGAGGTCGACTCGAGGTCGTGAGAGCGAACGGGGACGCTAGAATATTCACACCTAATGAATGCATACTTTCTTCATCTATTTCGGAAGACCCGACACTTATACTTTGATTTACTTTTTTCGAGTTCTCTCACGGTGGGAGGGAGAGAGAGAGAGAGAGCGAGAGAGAGAGAGAGAGAGAGAGAAATTAAGTTCAGGCAGCTGAGCTGACACGTACCGCCTATTTTGGAGGACGTTATTATAAATTATTATTTATTGTTGAAAAAATAGTTATGACGGAAATATAAGATAGAATTTCTTATCAAAATTTACATTAATATTAGCACACTAGCAAACAATTATCATTGACGTTCTATATATGCTATAGAATTCTATAATTCTTACTTTTATTATTAAAAAACTAATTTTTACTAATTTTTATATTATGTACAAATTTAATCGCATAAGGCATTTGATATATTAAATAGTAATTGTTTATTAAATTAAAATAAAATTATCACCAAGTACATCTATTCGAGATTACTGAATTTAGTCGTATAATTGGGACAAAGGAAACGTCGTTCTCACTCTTCTTAAATTTACACTTTTGAAAGTTATAAATTTTCTTTTTAAAGTGTTCCTTAAAATAAATTAAAAAAAAATTCAGATTCTAAACAATACTTGCCTTAAAAATAAAAATGTACTCGATTAAACATACATTTTATGAATAATGTATCACATTCTATATTCTACATAACTGTGAATGTTATTTTTAATACAACTATATAACGATATTTAATCTTTAATGCAATAATCTGCCTTCACTCATTATTGGAATGTTAGAATGCTTATATGTAGAAATATTTAAAAATTTGTGCTCTACTTACTCTTGAAAAATGTATTGACTTACTTCTAATTGCTATTAGAAAAATACGTATATTTGATTAGAATTTTCAATAATCATTCATTAATAACTGGATAATTTAGTTGTAAGAGCAGTCGCTTTATATTCAGATCCAACATTATTTATCAAAGAGAAAGTTAACCATTTCTATTTAAAAGTAGGCAGAGCGATGTTAAGGCCGATAAACGGTGCAGAATTGACTGGAACGTGTTTTAGCGCAAAACTTAAAATTCCAAGAATATAGAGATACTTGATTAATAGAATTTAAACATGATAATTGATTATGGAATGATTGAGAAAAGCCATCGAGGCCATCGTAATGCATTGATTAGAATTAATTGAAATAGTTTGACCCCGTAGTAGCATCACTACGGAGGAAAAAGATTCAGTTTAAACTAATTATATCTTGAAATCTATGAACAAGGAGATCTTGATATATGAGTGCATTATAAATTTTCATTCGATACGCGACTTGGAGATATCATATAATTATTTAGGCTTATCAATTAGTTATTATTAATTATCGTCAATAAACTATTAACTCCACTGATATATCGGTTTATCAAAAGTAATGTTCAGTGCTTAAATTACATTTAAAGTATGATGATAATAAAATTCCTTATAGGTTTATCTAATGTCTTATTAAATATATCGAATTGCAAAATAATAATTTGATAAAAAAAAATATATATATATATACGTGAGCATATGTAATTTTTATTTTGATATTTTATTTTACGTGTAGTGTATATGAGACATTACATTATACATTATGTTGTGTACTATACACAGACATTACCTGTATTAATCATTTCTCAATTCTTTATTGTAATGTCATAAATCGATCACCAAACATAAAAATTCATTTCTATATTACAGAACAAAAAGTATGGACAATAAAATATCTATATCGCATCATTCCAATTTATACATTGTAAAAATCGTAATTAACTTATTGTTAAACGTATGATTGTTATAAATTGAGAAAACTTTCATATATAAAGAAAATATAATAATTATACATCAATACGTCGACTTCTTCTAACATACAACGAAATAACCCAATGCTTAATTCGCTTCTCCTGACAAATACATAAATACATTTGTTTATAAGCTAATATTTTATGAAGCAAAAAAATTGATAAAAGCTTTTTTTTAAATTAGTAAACGATGAAATAATGGATTCCTTAAATTTATAGATTTATTTCCTTATCGTGCGTTATCTAAATAATTAAACAATTACTTATTCTAATTATTATCTCTTATCTAACATAACATAAATTTTTTTTTTATAAGAAATAACATAAAAGATAGTGCCAATGTTTTACACTGATATTATTCGTAATTAATTTCAGAACGAAAATAAAAAGTAAATTTTAAGTAAGGGGCTGCAAAGAATAGATACAGTCGATTGTAATTTAAATTCAATGCTAGCAATAATCAAACCCAATAACCCTTTGTTAATACCATTTTACAACCTGTACCGACAATCATAAAATTAAAGTTTTTGGAATAGTTAATTCGAATTCGCAAAAATTTTCAAAGGAAAAATCCCTAATGCAACAAGTTATAGCTAATGGCTATCAATACGCGAATTAACTCTATCCATCCGAAGAATATAAAGGCTTTCTTTTATGAGCTAATTAGTTCTTAAGGACAATTTCCAGAATTGGACATATACCAACGTTTCTCTAAATTTTATGTTTATGGCTA